TCTACCAGAACTCGGGCCTGCTCCGCCACGCCAACTTTCACACGGGTGAGAAACCCTACAAGTGTCCCCAGTGCGGGAAGCGCTTCAGCGACAGCTCCAACCTCATTGCCCACCAGCGGCTCCACACGGGCGAGAAGCCCTACAAATGTGCTGACTGCAACAAGTGCTTCAGTGAGAGCTCCAAGCTGGTCATCCACCGGCGTGTCCACACAGGTGAGAAGCCGTACTTGTGCCCTGACTGTGGGAAGAGTTTCAGCCAGCGCTCGCACCTTGTCCAGCACCGTCGCACCCACACTGGGGAGAAGCCCTACAAGTGTGCCGAGTGTGGGACCTGCTTCAGTGACAACTCTACCCTCATCCGTCATCGTCGCACCCACACTGGGGAGAAACCTTTCAAGTGCTCCCACTGTGGGAAGAGCTTCAGTCGCAACTCCTACTTAGTATCACACCAGCGGGTGCACGTGTGGTAGGCAACATTGCTAGATGTAGTCTAGGATGCAGCTTCTGGTCCAGGCCTGTCCAAAATGTGCCTAAGGTCCAAGGGTGTGTCTACACCAGGGCCCCTGGCTTATAAGCAGCTGGCCGGAGTAATTTGTTTGGCCCACGTTGCCCTTTTTAGTCACCTACTCCTCCCAACACACCTTGGGCAGGTACAGAAAGTGAGCAGTGATTGCAGTGATTAGTTCTGCATCCCAAAGCCCTGTGGTTCTCTTAACACCAGTACTAGGATTGGATGCTGCCTGCCGCGTGGCCAAAGTGCAGATGTTTTCTCCAGCCTCCCCGTGAGAGCCTAGGAGCTTGAGGAGAGAATGCATAATGTTAGGTCACGCGATGAGAAGCTGGTTGGATGTGCAACGTATGCATGTGTGGTCGTGTCAAGGGAAGTAAGATGACAGATGAGGTCCTTAAGGGGCTTTGCCCCACTTGCAGCTGAAATGTTGTGACCTGCATAATATTGCACAGGTCTGTGGAAGCTCACCCTGTGTGTGGTCTAAGCCAGCTCTGCCTGTTACGCAGCACTCAGAAGGTCAAAGCTAAGTGAGTTCTGCTGAGAAGCTAGAAACACTGCATTATGCATGTACAGCATGCGGGCCAACTTGAAGCACAGGCAAAGACCTCTTGAGTCTGCTTGTGAAAGGAACACGTAGGCATACCCTGAACCAGAGAAGGAGGGCATGCCTGCAAAGGTTTTCTGCAAATGCTGCTTGGATGGAAGGAATGAGAGAGCTGCAGGACAGGGACATAGGCTGTTCTGGCATCTCAGAACTGGTGCGTAACTGATGTTAAAAACTATCATACCTGGAGGCTTTAAAAAAAAATCAGAATTAAATTTACCGCTGCTAAGACTGTGGTATGCAACTTGACAGGTGTATGAAGGTCACCTGTGAGTTCGTACTCGCAGCCTCCTCCTTCAGAATTCAGACACAAATATGGTTCAGGTGGGCTGGTGTTAAGTGTGCTGGCAAGTAGGACAGAACAACAGTGTACTAGGACTGACCTGATTCCATGCCAGTATTTCTCAAGTCCCATTTTGACCAGTGTGTGTGTGCGCATGCATGTGTGTAAATAACATCCATATGTATATATTAACATATGTATGAACTTCAGCTTTTATGCTAAGTGTATCCTCTGACTCAGATGTGAGCAGTTGTGTGTGCACACACCATGACAGTGGTCAAAATGGCCAGCTGTGTGATGCCACCATATCACTTCTTAAAATGCCGAACATACTAGGATTTCTCAATAAGAAGCTGAGAGAAAGAGGTTTTGTACCAAAATATCTGAGTTTTCACATCAGGACATCACTGATTATTTTGTGTGTGTGTGTACGTGTGTGTATAAGATCTGGAATTGAGTTGTTTTATTTATGTATCTATAAAAAAATGTGGCCCCTGTGGTTGCAAAGAATGACTTAAAAGTGTTACTTAGCGTCGCACTGTCCCCCTTGTTTTACACAGGTACGAATCAGTGGCAGTTGTAGTATGTAACCCCCTCATGGTTTTAACTCCAAGGAATTGCAGTGCAACGTTTTACATTGTTTATATTTTTGACTGGTTTGCTGCTGATCCTTTTAGTGATGATACGGACTGGTGTGCTTATCCAGCACTGCTGGAACTCAGTAAAGATTTCTGATTTTGCCATGCACCTTGCTAAACCTGCAGCTGGCTCCACAGCTTCAGTAGGTCTCTGGAAGAAGGAATGCAGCCGGAAGCCGGTGAAAGGACTGGACCTGCGGTAGGGAAGAGATGAAGGAAATAAAGATGCTGAGAAGATCCATGGATTTGAGCAGCTGCTGGCCAAGGATGCTTGTGAACGGCTTGCCCTACAGAACTTGCTGCTCTCTCAGGATTGCAGGGATCCTTTCTGCAAGCTGCGAGTCACTTCTTGACACTCAATTGCTGATAAAATGTGGGGTTTTTCATATAGTTTAATAAAAAGGAGCTGTAGGGGGAGCATGAAATTGTTTACAGCTCCTACAGGAACAAGGCACCTTTATGTGCAGCTGCTCAGGGAAGTAGAAGGAGCTTTCAGAGATGGAGTGGGCTTTGTTTACACAGGAACCAAAGCCTTCCTTGCAAATGCACACTTTTGCTTTTACCTTTGTGTTTGTTTCTTTGTTTTTATGAACAGCTTCAAACCAATGACTTCTTGATTTCTGTTCCACTTCTGGAAAGTGGTTCGGAAATGTGACTAATGGTCATCTAATTGGTTCCAGAAGCATCAAGATTTTTGTTTGCTAGCAGACTTTCAGAACGGATACTACAGCTCTCAGCTGGTAGACTCATTTTTAGCTGAATTCAAAGGTTACGCTGAAGTCAGGCTGTAGAACTGATCAATTTCTGTCCCATTCCAGTTTTAAGTTTCCTAAAGGGAACCTACAGCACTAAAATGGCCTGTTTGGCTGAGAAGCCCTGTCTGCCAGGGAAAGGCATCTCATGAATGTGACTTTTCTTTCGGCAATCCGCACGGAGTCACTGTAGCAGATCAATGAAATCGAACCCAGGTCTGCACATAGCTGAGCTCAACTCAAAGGGAAAACCTCAAGTTGAGATTCTGATTTGAGAAGCCAGCTGCCCTGAGTATGCCTTGGCAGCAGTACTCAGAGCATTTATTTTCCTTTCTACATGCTTTGTGAAGTGCTGTGTATACTTAACAGTGCTCTATAAATTAAAAGGATTGATGTGCATTTATTTCAAAGATCTTTATGAACTTACTTAAAACTGTATGCCAAATCAAAGTGGCCTTAGGGTTCACAGCACATTGCCAGTGCGGTAGTCTTAGTGGCTGAGATTGAATTGCTTACCCGCGTAAGCACATTTCTGGAGTTCCTTTCCGCAGCCACTGTTAGTTTTCGCTGTTCAGTGTCACTTGGCTGAAATAATTCACTTCCCCTAGACTGCCTGCCCTTTACTGTTTGTGATCATCTAGCTGGAGAGAAGAATCTGGGCACCACCCTTCCTTTACTATTGCAGAAACATACAGGGTATGTTCCTCTGCTTCCAGGAAATCGATCACTTTGCGAGCAGCACAAACTCATGGGCCAAATTCAGAAGACAGAAGTATGGGCATGTGCAAAGAGTCAAGAACCAGAAGGTTTACTTTCACTGCATCACTGGCCTCTCTTTCAGCTGTCTCCTCCTTCAGGATCAGAGTGGGAGACTGCTGGAAAAAGCAAAAGGTAATTAGCTACTACCAGACCATCCCTAGCATACTCCATCCCCAAGCTGTGGTCACCAGCTTGGTGCCCAGATCCTCCTGCCAGCTGAGGGAGCTCTGTAGAATACTGTAAATTCTTGTTGTGCTAATGGTGCTTAGATACTACAGTGATACTATGGCACTTTAGAAATAACCCAAGATAGACGAATGGATGAATGATGTCTCTGAAATAAAATTTTTCACCCTAGTATTCTCTGTTATCCAATCTTTTTTTCTTTTTTTTCTCCCCAGAGTGACCTGAGCATCACAGTTTCTTGGCTCCTGGCAGGAGCAGATTTGGAAATACATGTGTCATCCTCCACAAAGTGATGGCTATTACTTAGTACAGCTGCTGTGCAATGCAAATAAGAATCCAGAGGTGAGGGTCTTCTTAGAATTGGTCTTCATTTTCATCTAATGTTTCTGCATAAATCTTAAAAGCCAGAGGATGGTACACAGTGCTTGCCTTTCCTTTATGAGAGAAAGTGGCAGCACATTATGTTGTAGTGACCCACCGTCCAGCTGGTAGATGGACCTGGTTCTAGCAGAGCTACAGCTGCTCTGAGGAAATTATCCTGCCATTTCTGTCACCTAGGTTTTATAGGATCCAGTTTTCCAGTCCCCTGCTGACAAAGTATATGTAGTAGTGATGACTGAAATACAATTTCTTTTACATTCCTCTTTGCTTTGTAGCTTACAAGTAGGCAAATAGATTTCTTTTGATCTTGGACAAGAGGTGTGTTTAATAAATTTTAAAAACTATATTATGTGTAATCTCTAAAGCAATTTTTGAGATGTATCAAACAAGCAAAACTGCCCTCGTGTGCACAGCAAACTGTGTTCTTTGTGGCCCTGTTTCCCCTTTACTTCAACAACATGGGTCTGAATAGGCAGAGACACAACAGCAGGAGCCCCCGTCTCTGAGGAAAAAGGAAAATACAGGGTATTCCTCCCTGGAAGTTGTTCAAGGCCAGGTTGGGTGGGATTTTGAGTAACCTGATCTAATGGGAAGTGTCCCAGTTTTTGGTGCCACAGTATAAGAAAGACATTGAGGTGCTGGAGCATGTCCAGAGAAGGGCAACAAAGCTGGTAAGGGGTCTGGAGAACAAGTCTTATGAAGAGCAGCTGAGGGAACTGGGGTTGTTTAGTCTGGAGAAGAGAAGGTTGAAGGGAGAACTCTTCCACTACCTGAGAGAAGGTTGTAGTAAAGTGAGTGTTGGTTTCTTCTCCCAAGTGATAGGACAAGAGGAAATGGGCTCACGTTGTTCCAGGGGAGGTTTAGATTGGATATGAGGAAAGCTTTCTTTACTGAGGAATGGTCAAGCATTGGAACAGGTTGCTCAGGAAAGTGGTAAAGTACACATCCCTGGAAGCGTTCAAAAAACCAAGTACACGTGGCACTTCAGGACATGGTTTAGTGGTCATGGTGGTGTTCTGTTGACAGTTGGACTTCATAATCTTAGAGGTCTTTTCCAGCCTAAATGATTTCTATGATTCTAAGCTCTGAAGGGCCTTTAGCCTTTTCATGCCAAACCTGATGCGTCGCATAAGTCAGCTCATCCACCTCTCAACTGCTCGCTCCCTTTTCTCATTTAAGTACTTGCTGGCTTTCTTAGTAGAAAATGTATGAACCCACCAGGTAACACTGATTTTGCAGTCCTGGTGAACTTTGACAACTGCTTGGTTTTCTTCCCACATGCCTGGCCTGTTTGGGACGTTCACTCACATGAACAGATGCGAGAGCCTAGGAACGAGAGAGCAGAGGGGCCAGACT